AGGACGAAACTCTATGGAAAATGTTCTTCTAGACGAACTCCTATTCGTCCCAGGACGAATTGTTCTCTCTTGAAATTTTGAGAACGTCTTGCAGTTCATCCAAACCAACCCATGATATAACTGTTCGTATCGGACGAACTTAGTTCGTATGGGACGATGATCGGGTACGAAGTCAGTTCGTACCAATATACATTGGGTTCGTATGCAACTAATTAAGTATATTCATACAGGACAATCTAAAGATCATACAGTACGATCCACTATGTACAGACTTAAAAATCAGCAGTTTTTGGACGATTTTTTGTGTCTTTCATATATAAAGTCCAATTAAAACTGCCTCTTAATCTTTTTGCCAACTGATCTTCGTGTTAACTGAAGGGAGAATGAAGGAGAGAGTGTGAGAGTGTTTGAAGGAGGATTCTTACTACTGTAGCGTGAAGGATTCACTTGGTACTCAAAGGTGAGAATCTCCACTTGTGATTTGTGATTACTTCACTCTTTTCTCTCATCCTTCTAGATTTCTTGTGAGAAGATCTATCAAGGAGATCCGGTTCTCTGCCGATATTTGGAGAGTGTGAACAGCCGAAGGGTTCTCTGCCGACACTTGGAGAGTGTGAACAGCCGAAAGGTTCTCTGCCTACACTTGAAGAGTATGAACAGCCGAAGGGTTCTTTGCCTATATTGGGAGAGTGTTAAAGGACGGGCGGTTCTCTGCCAACACTTGGAGAGTGTAAAAGGACGACGGTTCTATGCCAACACTTGGAGAGTGTAAAAGGACGACGATTCTCTGCCGCACCGGCTAGTGGTGAAAGAGAGTTTTGTAAAGGCTTCTCCGCCTTGCTGTGGGTGCAAAAGGAGAGTCACTAGTGGTATTAGTGCAATACTCGGAGGGTGCCTCCGGGGAGTGAATGTAGGTTGTGTTTGTCCGAACGACTATAAATCTTCTCTTTTATTTTCCGCTGCTTTTATTATTAGCTTTTTAATTTGTGGTTGGAAAATTTTTTCTACAAAATTTACTAAAGTTATTCTCAGTTTTTAATTTCAAAAAGAGGGATAAATTTTTTAATTACCAATTCACCCCCCTCTTAGTTAGCCACTGAGACATAAACTTAGGTCTAACAACCTAATTCATATTGAACAAGTTTCAACAAAACATGCCTCTTGAGAATTAATAAATTCTTGAGTTATATTGTTCAGTCAATTTGCTAACTCAACATCATCGTGCATCATTTGGGCCACTCAAGGTGTGTCATGTAGTCCAATTTTGTGTCTCCAATGATTGATGATCATTGGAGCCTTATAAGATGCTCCCCTCCCTTTGTTAGCTAAGTCAAAGTTGGATGGGGGTCTACGTTAGGTTGGGTTAGCGCAATCCTAAGTTTAGACCATGTTTGAATTTTTTATATAGGTGAGTTGACTTATGGTGCTAAGATTGACTAAGTGGTCCTTAGGTTCTAGGATTCCTATTTGACTTAGCTAGGCTGCCTAAGTTGCTTAGGATAGGTTATACATGGGCTAATTAGGCTAGGTTTAACCTTAGGCTTGACTAGGGTGTGGTGTAAACTAATATTAATCATATGAGTCAATTTGGGTCTACCAGTCAATTAAGGTTGCATGAGATTCAGCCAAAATAATTGGCTTATAGGTCACCACTATGTTAAGGGTTGACTTAAGGTGGGCCTTGGGTAAGTTAGGGTTAGGTTGGCTACAAACCAGGTCAAGCTTTATTCTTAACCACATGGGTTGTGTAGGATGTCTCAATAGGTGACTTAGAGTGAGTCAGGGTTGAGCTTCACTAGGGTTTGGTCCTGATCAGGTTTAAGTTTGGTTTGACATGCCCATGCCCATGCCCACCATAGATAGTTTTGGGTTACATGTGCTAGTAAATATTACGAAGGTTATTTTGGACTAGGTAGATTCATGAAGCCGAGCTAAAGCATGTAGAGTACCAAGGTGTACTAGTGTGTACTAGGTTTAGCTCAATAGGTTGCTTGATGGGAAATCTAGCTAGGATGTCATAGCTTATAAAGGTCTAAACTAGGTAGGCCTCCTAAGTAGGTTATATTCTCCCCAAGAAGGCATGCAAGCTGGCTAGCCAATCCCCTAGAGCATTCTTGATGGCTATACTATGTTGGGGTGGTTCAAATACGCTAAGTCGGATTAAGAATTATCCCTGATCATCCACAAAATATTATGAAATCTACTAGATAATCTGACCCATGGCAAGGTCTAGAGTTACATGGTAGATCATGGGATAGTAGAATTAGTAAGGTAAGTTTCTAAGGCTAAGTGAAACCATAAGCTTTAGCGCAAGGGGAGCACAATAAAATGGGGTCAACAAACAACCTCTTTAAAGATGAGACTTAGATATTAGTGGAATGATTTATGTCCTCTACTGTTGTCTAGGTTGATGAAAAGTAGAATTTCATGTTTTCCTTAGGCATTAGTAACCAATAAATTATTTATATTATTGACTTAATTTTAGTCACCATAAGCCTCTTTTAATGATTTGTATATCAAGATGCCAAAAACAAAAAGCAAAAATAATTTAATTTGATTTGTTGAAATAATTTGTTAAAAATTTCATATGGAGTTAAACTAGCTTGTTCATTTGATTAGCCAACTACAATTGATATGTGTTGAAAACCTGCTGATATGCCACTGTTGGAAAGAACCAGGTAATTTCCTGCCCGTTAGTCAGAAATTTGTGCAAGAGAAGTAGAACAGCATGAGAACAATGCTATTCTTTCTAATAAGATGATATGTGGATAACGATGTATAGGTGTTGAGGCGAGTGACAAATTTATGATATAATGATGAAATAGACAAACTTGGATCGGTCATTTTTAGGGAAAACTGATGGGCTTCTTAAGTTCCTCCCACCACCAAAACAGAATCAATATTTATCTATGAATTTTTGTATTACATCTTTGACCGTACATGGTTATAGGTATCCATGTGGGATTGAAGTCAGGTTGACCTCTCTCTGTAGGGACTGAAACGGGGAAAAAAATTGAAAATAACAGAATTACAAATGGATCTTCTTCTAATTCTTGAAATATTTCCTTCTAATTGCATCGAAATCTGAAATTTTTATTTGAACGTAACCTAGAAATTTGCTATTAGAGAATAATGAAAAACTCCTATTTGAGGCATAATTATGGAAAAGATTTAAAGAAGAATCATTTTAAAAGGGTGTCATAATTATTACCATGATGTATATTTTGATTGATCCAAAAATATTTAGAGTTGGCTTATGAAGAATGTTTATAAAAAGTTCTCGTTGAGATAGCTTTCGAAATTAGAATTATTGGAGGCATTAGATTAGTTTGATCAACCAATCTTTTAATAACAAATTCCTAAGGATAAAGAGGATGTTTTATTGTTGAAGAATAAGGATTTAGGTACTTTAAGAAAAGTGTTATTCGAGATTGTGGCAATTAATATGTATCAAACTTTTGAGGCTACAATGCTATTATGGAAAATGGTTATGGATATAAGTTTTTAAAATGTATGTCAATATCAAAAATCAATTTAGTTTTATTCTAGATCATCTGTTGTTACAATCTGTGTTATGGAAATCAGTGGAATACTATAGAGAGTAATAAACTCATCTGATTTTTTATTGACCTTGAAAAAGCACACGCATATCTTCTAGTAGTGTTATTAGTAGAAAATAGACATTTGAAGCAAAATGTTTTTGTCAAAGTTATGTCAAAATTGTTAAGTTTATGAATGATGGAGTCTTGATTAAAAATTAGTATTAGTTGTGAAGTTGTTCAGCATAAGGAAGAAAATGTGTGCTGGAATTATGATTTCCTTATCAAAGATGTATATGCTTGAGTATTAATTAGTACAAAAATACTCTTGTTAACAAAATAATTTTAACCATAATAAAATTACATCAAGAATCTAAATTTCATCAATGTCCTTTCTGGTCATGATGTTAATAACAGATATTCAAAAGAGTTATTGTATTGTACACTATTTGTTAATGATAGACTTCATACAAGGAAGAATTCTTTTGAAGCAAGCGAGAAGTTAGAAGAATAAAGGCTATAAAGCAATTCCTTATGAGGGGATTAGAATTGTAGAATTGAGAGTGAGTGCATGATGCAAAATTTTAGTAAATGTGAATATAATAACTATTAATTTATGTTGTTAGAAGATCAATTAATACCTTAGTGATATACGTTTGAAATACTTTGTAACTACTATACAAAATAATGGAATATAGATATAATGTAACTTTATGTTAAGGCTTTGTTATTAAAATGAAAAAAGTGCCTAATGAATATTACGTGACAAGAGAATATCAAGGCCTAATAAAATTATAATTAGAGTAGCTATACTAAATAAATTAACTTTATTAATGAGCATGATGAGGGCAAAAGAAATGTGAACCTACTTTAAGAAATGTTTGCTAAAGTAAGAACTACAGAGTCTATACCAATTATGCTAGAGAAATATGAGACTAGTGCTGAATGATAATAATGCAGTGGAAATTAGTCTTACAATGCTTGGCATCTACAATAATTGGCAGAAGATTCACTAATAAAAGTGGAATTGGTGAAATAGTTAGAAGGGAAACGAAGTATATCCAAGCTAACATTGTTAAACCAATGCAAAAAACTTGGGATTATGAATAAATGTAGGAGGATTCATAAAGTCAAGTCAAAATATATAGGATAAGGCTAGCGATGATGATAATTTTTGCCACTAACACAGGTTATTTGCATATGCTAGCCAACCATGTTAAAAAAAAAGAAAAAAAATTTGTGGCCAACCAAACAATCAGCTTAGTAAATGATATATCACTACAATCTTAACAATCCAAGCTAACATTGTTAAATCCGTTTTATTTCTATATATGTCCTTCAATGCTCAAGCAGACCATAAAAAAAAATGTACTTCTCTGCAACCCAAATACTTGTGACTTGTGAAGGCTACTTTAATCATTTTTTTCTTTTTATATATCTTGACATTTTTCCCTTAAGCAGACTAACATGCCTGAATATCAAGGGCAAGAGAAGATTGTCATTCGGCGTTACAGCGACTTTGTTTGGTTGCGTGATAGGCTTGCGGACAAGTTCAAAGGAATTTTTATTCCACCTTTGCCTGAGAAGAGCGCTGTAGGTAATATTGATATTGATCTTGTGCCAAATATTTTCTTCTCTATGCATCATTCTTTATGATATGAATGCCCCTGATTATAACAGTTTGATTCATGAGTGGTGTCTCCTTTCTTGTATGTGGAATATATAACCTCTGATAAATTAAAATTTTTTTTGATGAATTTGACAATGTCCTTTATCATCTAAGTTCTTTGTTTTTCTTTCTCAGTTTTCTTATAATTGCAGAGCTATTATTGTTGTGCCTCTTAGATTGCTTGCACACTACTTTTTTTACTTAATAATTTGTTGAGTAAAGAACATGAATATTTTTTTTTATTTAGTTCTTAGTTTTTCAATTTTTTTTTCCTTTAAGTTTATCCTATCTATTTATTTCTCATTATCATGAAGTAAAAAAACAATTTTCTCCATTGTATTGGTATTCAACTGGTATTAAAAAACATAAATCAACATTATCAATACAATTAATATTTTGAGCTAATTGGGAATAACTTGCAATAGACTAATTAGGAGATCAATTAATTTAATGATGTGGGGACCAACCAATGTGATATGGAAGTTGAGAAAGGGCCTCTAGAGAAATTATATGATGTTGAGAGGTTCTTGAGTCAAGAGCATTGCTTATAAGGAGAATTTGGGTCTCAAGAAGCTTAGGAAGAGATCTTGGTAAATACTCTAAAGCCATATGTCATGCATCAAGACAAAGCTGCCAGCCCAGTAGGTCCTTGAGAGATTGGCTATCTTTAGCCCAAGAAGTCCGTTGATTGCATGATAATGATGACATTCTTGTAACATAACTTCGTGATTGCAACACCTAGTGGTGGCCACCATATTGCATAAATTTCTTATTTTGAGTCATAATTTCCTATAGTAAATGTAGCCCATATTATAATCAACGTTCCTTACCTCTATAAAGGAAGTTCGATATAGGCTAAACAGAGCTAGTTGGCTTCACAAGGCTTGGCAAGACTTCTGTTAGTCTAAGTTTTTGTTGTAGGGAATTGACTATTGTGCTTTTCATCTTAGGGCTTCAGTGGGCATGAAGTTGGAGAGCTAAGAGAGAAAAGATTCAAGGAAGAGCTTCTTCCTCCTTGTATGTTTCCTAATTTTCTCAATTAATAAAACTATGTGCTTAATTTCTTGCTCTAGTCAGTATCCAAATTATATCCTACTTTACTCCATGCTGTCTTCTTACATTAAAGCACTTGGTTTGAATAGCACTTGGTCAACTTACAAATTAAGATTTTGCATTTAAGCACTTGATTTGAAGAGACCTCTGGCACATGATATTGACAAAGAGTGGCTACATGCATATTAGAGAAACATTCTTATTATTAAAATGAAGCTCAAGTAGGTAAGGGAAACCCTAGATGTCAAGCAAACAAAGAGAATCATCCAAAAACATGGCAAATCCCATTGTGATACAGCAGTGGTTATGTTAAGGAGATGTTAAGAAAGCATATTGTGGTGCAAAATCTTGAACAAGATCAATAAGTCGGGAATGTTGGTACCCAATGAAAGATTTCTGTCATGACAACAGAAGGAAACCAATGAGAATTTTGATAGGTAAGAAGTTGATTCTGAGATGAGGATCATAGGCCTTCATTCAATAGGAGATATCAATCCTTCAAGGTAGGGGTGAAGGTCGACATTCCTACCTTTGATGAAGCAATTGATGTGTAGAAGCTGGATGTTTTGGTAGCTTAGCTAGAGCCTGTAGTCTTTATAGGTATTCTTCCCAAGAGTAGATCTCGTTTACTCAGCTGAAGCTCACCTAGTAGATGTTGATTTGATAAAATGCTCTTTTGAGATATGGGCACCAGGATATCACTTAGCATCATTTCATGAAACTACTCCGCTAAGAATACTACCCTAGAGGGCATGAAGAGAAAAAAGATGGAGTAAATTGTATGAGTTGCACTAGCGACAAGACTAAAAAGTGCAAGATATCCTAGGAGTTTAGAGACAAGCCCTAATGATTGGAGCATCATTGGAAGATGTTGTTGAGGTGCTGAAGTACATTACAGGATTATATCAGAGTATCTACACCGACCTCCCATCCTTCACATCATTGACCTTGGTCAAGCTAGCATTTTGGTTATGCTAAATGAAAGAAAGAACAAGAGTAAGAATGATATGCCTCCCATAAGAAGAAGATAAATGAGATCAAGGTTGTTGTGATGAAATGAATTCAAAGGGTTCTACAAACTCTTTTCTTGAAATAACCTTTACTATTTTCAATGCTAGATCATGGGACAATAAAAGAAGCTTTAGAAGCTTCATCTAGAGTTATTCCGGAAAAAGTTCAAGATGAATATGATAGGGAAGAAGGTGACTATTAATGTCAAGCAGGATCAACTTTTGGACTCAATTATTTGCTCAGACTTGAGCCTTTCCTTGCTGGTAATGTTGAAGGGAAACGAGTTGAAGAGAGTGAATGGTCTAAGAGGTTTGTCTATGATAAGTTTAGCATATGATAAGGTGTTGTTAAGGGGTGTTGAAGTGTGTAATTGTGATGGAATGGTAAGATGACAAATTATAGACTATTTTGATAGCTTACAAAGAAAAGGAATTTCTTTGCATTACCAAGAAGGATTGAGTGGGGGAGCTCCGTAACACAAAAAGGAATGTAAATAAATGATAAACAACCAGCAAATACAATAAAATACTAACGTAATATAAATAAATCAAACCTCACTTATGGATGGAAGAGGAGGGCCACCAAGCAATCTCAAGGAAATAGCCACCAAGAGAAATCCAAATAAGTGAAAACTCCCAATTTTATTTTCAAACAAGATCATTACAACCTAAAGTCTAAAATCCATGTTTATATATAGCTTTAAGATGCATGAACTAAAATGGAATAACAAAAATATCATCCAAGGAGAGGCTGCTGACAATGATCAAGGCAAGGAGCCAAATTTATTCACACATGAATCTCCTTGAATTTTCAAGACATTTATTTATTCATCATTTGTATATCGAAGGAGATAAATTATCACTTAAAGGGAAGGTTCTTGAAGGAGGGTAGACTATTGACTTGTAAACATGATGTAACAATGAATAGGTCGAAGCTTGATTTTGACTTGCTTGGGTGGATTAGAATTAACTACCTTGCATGCCCACTTTTTACATGGTTACATGATAAATTATTACATCGTCATGTTATATTAATAAAATCAAAGTACAACAATGTAAAAATAAAATTGCAAGATCACATAAAAATAATCTAAAATTCATGAATCATATTGCAGCAAAGATACTACAAGATTTGTGGAGACACATCTATTGGTTGAGAATGGATTTGTACATGGCTAAGTTTTTTAAAATATACATACTCTGTTACACCTCAAAGCCCTCAAATAGAAAGCAAATTTGCGCACTATTCTATTCATACTGACTCGCCTATGGGAAAGCATCTCTATTGGCTTCCTTGGAGGACTATCATTGACCCATAGTGGTCATGACTATGTTTTTGTTTTGGTGGACATATTTTCAAAGATAGTCGTCTTCATGTCGTGAAATTACAACATCATGAGAGAAGTGATATGTCTCATCTTGAAGAATTTTTTAGTGCACTTTGTCTTGTGGAGCTCAATCATTATAGACAGCGACTCTTGCTTCCTTAACTTATTATAGAAAGTACTCAAGTTCATTAAGGATACAACCATGAAGAGAAACACATCCTTCCATTCACGAATTAATTGCTAAAGTAAGGTGATGAATATGACAATAGTGTACATGTTACAAGGATTCAATGCTTGAAATCCGAAGACTGGGATGAAAGCCTGTCGTTTAACCAATTTGCTTTTAATAGAACAATCCATAGTTCAACAAGTCGGACTCCATTCGCGGTATGCCTTTGGTACTACCTCAAAAGCCATTTGACTTTGAGTTCTCGACATAAGCAATGACTAATCTGAGTGTCGAGATGAAGGCCTCCTTGGAAGAGCCTAAAGTTTTTTTTTTTTAGTAGATCTAGAAAAGTTACTTCAAGATAGAGGTACGCTTGAAAAAGATACAACTCTACAAGAGTCATCATGATTGGTAGTGGGTAGAAAAAAGTTTGAAAATTGGACCCTACCACAAATTCTTAGCATGTACTAGCCAAAACATGTCACCTATCACCTTATTATAATAAAGGTAAGGCTTAAGACATTGAAATTTGAAATTGAGTCTCCTCCAACCCAGGGAGCATGACTTTGGGGTAGGGTCCTATTTGTATATATATATATATATATATATATATATATTATATATATATATTTATATATGACCTCTTTTCTTTTTCTATGTTCTAGATTTCTAAAAAAGAGTTTATAAGTTTAATAGAGGTTGACATATTTATACCCCATTCCTCATTAGTTTACAATTTTTGTTGGGTGTGAGTTTATATTTTGTTGAGTTTGGGAAGGATTTCCTTATTGTCAGATAGGAAAAGAAGTGAGGAGATCGTAATGAAGTTTGTGACTCCACTGCAATCGTTCACTAGAGCCGCGGTGTCATTTCCACGGCTGTTCTTTGCATCTGCAACACGATTCATACCTCAGACTGTTTGATAGGATATAATAGAAAAAGGGGGAGTGGCCTGGCAGTTTTCTCTTGGAGTGACAGGAAAATAGAGACAGCAACACAACCTCCAATGCGAAAAAGACTTGCAAGAATTAGAGAACAAGCCGTGACTGCAGCGGTTTGCCGTACAATTTGGAGATCTAGCCTAAGAAATTTATGAGAAAGAGTACTTTGGCTTGTTCAGGGTGCTGATTGTTCAAACCTGCAGGAACATCAGACTATAGCCGCTTAGATTGTAAAAACAGAAATGATAATTTCTTGATTGAAGAAGACTTTTCTCGCAGGTTCTCTATTGTTCTGCTCTTGCTTAGATTGAATTTTAGATTGGATCTTCTTGCTTCTTGAACAATTATTACTGCTGTCTTTACTTTTCTCCTGCTGGGCTGCTGGAAATTCCAGCACAAAAAGAGGTTTGGCTAGCCTTTTTGGACA